GGGATTGAAGAAAATCAAGATGTTTTGATAATAAAAATGTCAAAAATAATAATAATAAAATTTAAATACTTTTAATAAATTAATTTGTAAAAAAATTTATTAAAATATTTAAATAAGTTTTACACATTTTAAATATCAATAGGACCTAACTTTATTTTCACTTTTCTTTGCCACCAAACCCCATACAAAAAGTCAAATTCTTGTATTGTAACACACAAAAAAGGTTGGCCAAAAAAGAGATATGAAGGCTACAGAAATGGCCGCAATTAATTTTGTTCTGGCTATTAAAATTGTAAAAATTTTATTTTAATTTGACTGTTAAAAATAAATAATAATTAGTAAAATAGTTAATATTTATTGTTTGATATATTAAAATTAATTTATAAACAAATATTATATTTCCTTTGTTTCAAAACAATTATCATTTTTTCACTTTGAATTTATCTCAAATTAATTGTCATTTTCTTATTTTTTAGGGTAGACAAATATTTTTTTCTTATTTTAACCATATTATTATCTATTTGCTTTGATTAATTATCCTATCACAAAAAGTTTCATTTTAATTATCTTTTAGCTTTTTTCTTAAAATAATATAAATATATATATATATATATATATTGTCCTCAAATCTTTAATTTGAAGAAAAAATAAAAAAAAAAATGACAATTATTTTTAGATAAAGGTAGTAACTAACTATTTAAAAAAATAAAAAAATTAGTAACCTTAACAAAATTATTAATGGCTATAACCTTAGTTAGATCTGAAGTTCGAAATAATTATACTAAATATCATATATAGAAGCCGCGTGATGAAAGATAAAAGAGACAGCCAAAAAGGGGCTGGAAAGATGTTAACAATTTAACATTCTTTATACTACCAACGAGAGGACATGTAGTGTTCTTTAGTAGTTAGCATAATGAGGGGATTGGGAGTATAAAATACGAGCATGTTGAGGATTGGAATTACATGGCTTATTCTTTAATTGTTTTGAGATTTTTTAACTTTATTCTGGATAAGACTTCGAGTTGGGCTACGGTAGGATGTAATTTTAAAGTATCGTTAATGACTCTTATGTAAATATACAAACACATTATTAAATCAGATGTATGGTATAAATGAAACAGAAATGTAAAAAAAAAATAAGAAAAGAAAAAGAAAGAAACATTCATAAAATACTACCAACCAGAGGGCATCTGGTATTCTTTAGTATGTAGTTATTTGGCTCATTCTTTTATTGTTTCGTGATTTTTTCACCTTCTTATAATAGAACTTCGAGTTGGGCTGCATGATTTTAGAGTATCGTTAACGACTCTTGTGTTGTAAGGATAGGTCTGACATCCTTAATTTCGGATGTACAGTAACAATTCCTTAATAGCCGAAGTGAAGTTAAATCCAGCACTTCCAGTCAAATGGTTATATGGTAAATATAGTAAACATATCCACACCTGATCTATCACACAATTTCTCGATCCCAAATTTACCGTCAATCCCAAATTTACCTTCTTAAGGGACACGTCATACTTCGATTATCCTGCTAAGCAGGTCATGTGGATACCTCATGAAGGCCTATAAATACCCTCCATGGGCCACCTCAAAAAGGTAATTAAAATCAACCGAAAGCTCCTTTTTCGTTAGTTCAAAGATAGACCCGATTATTGCTGATTTAAGTATCGGAGTGTTTACCTCGAGGATCCATCTCAGGGTTTTACAAGTTCATCCAAAGTGAAGACGCAGACCGAAAAAGAATTTCTGGTTTAGTGCAATTACGTGTGTATATTCGTACAAATTATTAAATGAGGAGTATGATATAAACGAAACAGAAATGTAAAAAAAATATAAAGAATGAAACATTTATAATATTAATACTGTTATATTAGCTATTAAATTATCTTGACTGTCCATTTCTAGACTATCGTATTAAAAAAAAAAAAAGACTCGTTATTAATATATAGAATGTAAATTAACAAATAAAAGGAAGGAATAAAATGATATATTGAAATATAAGACAATAATTATCAGAGAAAAAATGAACATGAAGTGGGAACGCTATGCAGCGAGAGACAGTGGAATGTTATGCAAGGTTAGGTCGGTCAAACTGAAAGCAATATTTTGAGCCACCTCCATGTTGTTTGTATTCACTGAGGTGGAATATGTGGGGACATAAAAGTTGGTGGAGAAAACAGAGCCTACCACACGTCAGTGATTATATTAGAATAATGATTAATATACTATTGGGTTTAAGAAATTATATAATATATTTATTAAAAAATAATTATTTTTAATATAAAATTAAAAGTAAATAAATTTTCAAAAATAATCATACAAATATAATATATAAAAATTAATTAAATTAATTATATTTTAATATTAAACCAAACAAATATTAAAAAATATGTTGTATCAAAAGTATACTAATAATTTTTCATTATATTATTCACGGACATGGATCACCTTGAAAAATCCATTTAATGCCGAGAAAACATAGCAACACAACATTCGTTTGGTGGTAATTTTCCTTTTTTTAGGAATACGTTGGTGATAATTTATGTTTCAGCAACGCGGTCTGTCTTTGCTGATTTTTAGGCCTGCATTCATTGGTTGTTTTGCCAGTTTGACTATTTAACATTTTAATTTAAGTTGGTAATTTTTAATATCACTCGTGTCCACGTAGGCTGTCGATTTACTTTGCTAGAATTGCGCCATCCAGTAGTAATTATCACCAAGTAGAGCTAATTAAGTGAAGAAAACTAGTCGTGAATAAGCTAAACCAACTAAAATGCAGATAGATAGGCTAAAAGTACAAAGATAAATGGTAGTCTCTGATTTAAGTGCCAACCAATAGATCGGTCGCCTTCATGTTCGGCAGATGTTGGAGGTGAAGAGTCCAATTTAGTTATCGTGAAGGAACTAACTCAAAATGCAAATAGAGATAGGATAACTAAAAATACCAAAGGACAATGAATGGTGGTCTCTGATTTAAATGCCAACCAGTAGAAAAATGAAGTGATGCAGGGCCGCCTTCGTGTTGGGCAGAGAGTGGAGGTGAATGGTTTAATTTAGTCTTTTTTTTTTTTTAATACATTTGATAATGAGTTATACAGGAGACAATAATCGTATTTTTTTAAAAAAAATTTTTGTTTGTTAAACTTAAATTTTAAGTATAAGATTTTTAATTTATAATCTCAACTTTTAATCAGTTGAATTATCTATTGAAACAATATAATTTAATTATATATCTAATAAAAATGGGGCCTTTCAAGGCCAATAAAAAATGGCCCCCTCAACACTAGAAAACACAAGTGTCCCCTCGATCCCTTTGGGTCGTGATGAATTCTAAAAGGTTCTTTTACAACTTACATGCTTCATGTTGGTATATTTTGTTTTGGCGTGATAATCAAATTTTTCTCGGGGTCGGTTTTCTAAAGTGTAAAAGTTTTGTTTAACTTTTTCCATTTCATATGAACGGTGTTTATGTCCTTTGGATTGTGCTCAAGCCATTGAAAGATATAAACAAGCGAGGAAAAAAGCCAAACATGTGATTCATTTGGAAGCTTAGTATCATCGGAGTTAGTATTTTACAAATATTTTATTTATATATTTTTATTTGTGAGCCTTTGTACACGTTAAAGTATTTTTTTTACTCCATATGAGAATATTTTGCATTTAGTTGATAAAAAAATTATTAACAGATTCACAATATTATAAATAAACATTCAAGATGTATCATTGCTTTGTTGTTAAAAAAAAAAAAAAATGATGTGTTCACACTCAGATCCAACACCTGGGTGTGCACACTTCCCATAAAAAACAATAATCCAACACCTAGTCCATTTTCTTTTTATGTGGGGAGTGCACATCCGGGTGTTGGATCCGAGTGTGCATCAATCATAATCCAAAAAAAAAATTCGAGATATAACATTAATATACCTTTGTATTTTTAGTACCATAAAAGAACAACCCTTCAACCTTTATAATCAGTGCCATCAAAAAAATAAAACTATTGACTTTAGATGGATTATTGTTACTTTATGGTTTACTTTGAAAATATACTTTTTTTTTCTTCTTTAATTTTGACAATTCTTTCTTACTTTTTAATCCATTATAGTTATATGCCATATTTGGAAGACTTAATTAGATTTCTCATATCTTGCCAACAAAAAAAAATCAATTTCTTTGTCAACGTAATTGTCAAATCACTGCAAACTCGTAATTAAGAAAGACTTTTTTCTTCTTAAACCGGAAGTGAAAGACAAAATTAAACAAGCTAGAAGAAAAAGCATCCAACTAAAAGAAAGAAGAACATGAAGGAAAGATTACATAAACAACTGCAATTTTTGAATGATAGCAGTTCTCATAACCTCCTCAGTTATGAATCCGTTGGGAATTCCGACCACAATATCTTGAAGCACCATCTCCCTAACGCTTGATATGCTGGCATGGTGAACATGAAACTCCAGCTCTCGGAGCACCTCCATCAGTCTCGCCGCCGGATAATTTACATCCGGACACTGCACCCTAATCATGGCTTCTGATCCTACAATCTTGACATCCACCTCCGTTGTTTTAGTCCCAGAACTTGATTCTGAAGATGACATTGTACCTTCAAAATTCGACTTCACTCTTTGGTAATTCTCAAAGTCATTAGTCCTAACCCACTCAGGTTTCCGGGGTTTTTCTTTGAGTTTGGCCTCCAGCACATCAATTTTCCCACGGAGCTCCTTGATATAAGCTACTGCATCTGACAGCAAGGATGCTTTGTCCATCTTGGACACGTTAGGAACCACTGATCGGAGTGCATAGAAACGGTGGTTCAGCCTCTCCCGCCGCTGCCTTTCGGCTTCCACGTGGTTTACCGGACATTCTTTCCTACCCTTTGGTTTCCTCCCTCTTTTCCTTATCACACCACCTGTGTCTGTAGAGCCAAAAGTTTCCTCTGAATCATCAGGTGTACCAGAGTCAGATGATGATCGACCTAAATTACCAGATGGTTCTTTAGTTGCTTCGCCTGCTGCTGATTGCTTTCCTTCAAAAACTCTTTGCTTTTGGTCCCCCAAAATCATTCCGATGTCCAGACAAGATCGTACCTAATAATTAGTCACCCAGTAAGTTGGTATACTCATTAATTTTAATTCTAGAGGTCGAAATGAAATATATACTTTTAGAAACAATAAATAAACTGCCATTCAGAATAATTGATTATGTAAAGTAGGCACCTGAGATACTTGACATTCAGAGCTAGGCTGCTTTGAAAGGACACGGTTAACATCATAACCAAAAAGGGATTTTGCTAATTGCACCACGCTCCAGTCGTCTTTGATGAGATCTGAAGAACCCAATTCAACAACTCCAGAAGAGGTGGGAATGCAGACCAAAGTCCGAATTCCACGCATTTGAGCTTCTTTAGCTCTGTCGCACTCATAAAATTGCAAGTCTTGATCACCAGTTAGCCAAAAATAAGAACCAGAACTGAAAGCCCGGCCGAGGATTCCATCCCCAACGGAGAAGGATCGCGTGATTGATACAGTATAATACCACTCATAGTCCGTGACATCGCCATCAATCACCCTCCCCATGTCCATCTCTTCAGCAAAAGGAGATTGAATATCTTTGAATGACCTCTTTCTGATCTCCAAATCGAACCCAATTCTCGATTGAGTGCTGAATCTATTTGTGGCTTTGGAAGTGAGGTCTCTAGTGCCACGAAAATAGCCATCGCCCCACGACAGAACAAGGCGATCGTTGGAAGCCTGCCAGAAAATGGAATACACCCACCATTCAGGCCTGTTTTGAATGATGAACTGAAGGCGCTGTTGCAGGGTGGGGGAGGTCTCTTCCATATTTGTTTTTTCTTTTGGAAAACAAGTGAAAAGAGGCAAGAGCAGAAGGAGAAGACAGCGAATGTTGCCTGCTGTTCGGAAATCACAAGAAATTTATGGGAATTCAAAGAGAGTCCTATTACTGTCCTATATGTTGGTTACATGTTTTTGCACCATTTATCACGTGAGCTTCAACTTCCAAAGTCCAAAAGGACAGAATGAGATCGTTGGCGTTTGGATACCCACATTATTCCGTATTGACGTGAGTTCCCATAGTCCACGAGCATTCGTCATTACTTCTAGAAAATGGATTGTCTGGGGCATCCACGTTTTCGTGATCATCTTGTGTTCCTTTTTTGATACTTTTTGTTTTTCTTCTTGGTACGTACGCGTTTCTTTTTTCTTTTTTCTTTTTTTAAATGAAAATTATAAATTAGGAATGACAATAGAAGTTTATTTATTTATTTTTTTAAAAAGTACAATACAAAAGCAATTAATCACTTTATTCTACACTATTACTTAGGAACCGTTGACTGCACAAAATCTATAAGTAACTTGTATAAATGAAATATGTATATATATATTCCAATTAAAAATAGTATAATAATTTCTTGATAATTTTTATTGACAATAAAAACTTATAATATGGAGCAATTTTTATTGTCTCTTTAAATTTGGAGTGAAATATTTGATTTGATATTTTCCTACTCATTTGATGTTATACATTATAAAATTTACAATAATTTTTTGTATTAAATAACAAAATTATTTGTTTAGCATTATGTGGCCTAGTGGCCATAATCTACATGAAACGTGTTATGACATATAAGTCCTGGGTTCTACACTCAGGCACTACTTCTCCCATCCCCCACAATTCCCCTTAGTTAAAAAAAAAAAACATGAGATTTCCATAATTTCATCTTGTCTCTTTATTAAAAAAAAAAAAAACAAAATTATTTTCTTTTAGTATGAATTGCATGAAAAAAAAAAGTAGAGTTTGAGAATTGAATTTATTAAAACATTTTTAATGAAATTCTATTAATATTTATTCAATAATAATATTATTTTATTAATAATTCTTTTATCCTAT